GCCAAATATGGTTAGAATTAAAATGAAGCATATATTCAGCATAAATGTCTGTCACACTATAACCCTACTGCCGAGCTGTCTTCCTCTCGTCAGCACCAACACTTTCCCTGTACCACCAGAATCCGGGCTGGCTCATCTAAACGCATTTACGCAAATGCAAGTCGTTTGGTGGAGTCATTTTTGCATGCTTGCGTTTAGAAGACGACTTTTGAGGTTGTTTAACGACGCTTGTGTGACTGCCCACTTGCCAGCTGGCCGCTGCGAGATAATCATTTATGGGATTCTGGATGGGCAAGTTCGGTCAGTGGGGACACACTTGCATACACACATATCTTCTTGCCGTTTATTCACAGTTTATACTACTCTTCTCTCTACTTTAGTGTAGTTTTATTTATGTATTTATGTATTCATTTGTCTATTTGTCTCTCGGCCGTGGCTGGCATTTGTACTCTTTTCCCCCAACCGTCTCGCCTCCAGCTCCGTCCAGTTTCCCAACTACCGTCCAGACTCGCAGTCTGAACGCCACCTCGATTGAGGTCTCCTGGAGTCCGCCTGGCATTCGTCAGCGCAACGGTCGTCTCACGGGCTATCAAGTGCGCTACTTCGAGGTCGCCGATCCTGTTGGTACAGATCGGATAGCCAGTCTTCCCAGAGACAGACAGCGTCGCCTGCAAGTCCACGCGCTCAAGGTGAACACGTACTACGCGTTTGCAGTACGCGCCATCAACGCAAACGGCGAGGGTCCCTGGTCGGGATTCAGCAATCACAAGACCAATCTGAAATGTAAATCAACTGGTTGACAATTAATTGGCTTTGCTGTTTCACATTGTCGATATGAGATATGAGGCATTCTTGGACTGTTTTCAATTATTTATTGGTTGATTGATACACAAAAATTGTACAACTGAGGCCAATTAATCAAAGTTGTGGTTAGGTCCCAACAATTAGTTCATCATTCTCTATTGTCAACTTAAAATGTATACATTTTTATCTGAGACGTATTCACCACATTTGGTTTGAGATGATATATTTTTAATTATGGAACGCTGACATACGTCTCCTTTCCGGTATGCAATTATGGATATAATGTGACTGTCCGGTACAAGACCCATTTTTCCCTCCCCCATTACTGCCGGTACCTATCATTATTTGTAGTCAGTGCGGTTGAAATGAAAGAAAAATTTTCCTCCTCCACACCACCGAGCTTTTTCGCATAAATTATTTATTCTCGATGCATCCAAAGCTTCTACGTTGTTGGGCTCATTCCTATAAGTTCGGTTCACATAAAATTAATTTGATTTCTCCAAATAATGGCCAATTTTCAATTTCAACTCAAAACTCGACTTTGCTGTGGATGGGATGGCTCAGTTGGCCGCAAATATAGAAGATCACATTTTGGCAACTTTCTTGGAGGTAAAGACAGACTTAGAAGAAATTGTGATTGCGAGTGAGCAGTTGCCAGATACTTTGTCTGGACTAAGCCTAAATTATGATATTCATAGAGAGAATCGTAGTTTTCATAATTTTGATTGTGTTCATTTTTAATATATGCGAAGAAAAGTAGGGTTTCGAGGAATTTTTTTGTTTCATAATTGTTGAGCTCACTTCCATTTTGAGTGAAAGTGTCGGGTGAAGAGATTCAAAGGTCGGTTCCACCAGAAGACGACGGCGAATTCCTCTTGATCAGCTGTCGATTGGCTTTACTGGACGATTCATGCTGATGCTGTTTCCGAGGCAATCTCGTTCGATTCCGTAACTAACCAAATCACTTTACACCTGATCTTAACTCGTTAGCTTGAATTTGGTTGTGACGATGGTACCTCGCTCTGATGATGTCCGTCATATGACGCACGAAAGCTTAGCACCTTTTCACGGGAATCGAAGAAGATTGCTTTGGAAACAGCTTCAGCATGAATCTTCCAGTAAAGCCAATCGACAGCTGGTCAAGAGGAATGCGCCGTCGTCTTCTGATGGAACCGACCTTTGAATATCTTCACCCGACACTTTCACTCGAAATGGAAGTGAGCTCAACAATTAATTTTTTATTTTACTCGGCTTAATTTGGAATTTATTGTACATTGTAGACCAGCTGAGCCGCAGTTTTGTTCAGAGAGTGCTTGTCTTGTCTTGACTAGTTCGTTTGTGCCTAATTTCTACGATAAATTTCTTATATAAAATGGTTTCGCTAACCTCTTTATAGCTTTAGCTTCTTTTAGGCAAAAAGTATCGTTGGATGTATCTATAAGGGCCAATCTCTGGCTGGGGGGATCTTCATTTGAAAGTGCATTAAGAAGAGATTCGTAGTTTAATTAAGATATGAAAGCTAAGATGCTGTCGCAGTCTCCTTTCGATGTATACACGTGGGTTGACCTCGTTTTTGCAACTTGGTCTTGTTGCCAGAGCGACTGAATTGACAGCATCTTGTTGGAAGTTTTCTGTCATAATTCCCAGCATCAGACCGTGAACTTGGCACATTCTCAGACGTTTCGCCGGCTGCGTAGTCGGCAGAACATTGGTCGAGGGATTGACTTCATTTGTCTCTTTGACGAGTTCGTCGCTTGTTGTGGAGAATGGCAAAACTGACTGACGATGCCGACTACGATGCCGGCGAAACGTCTGCGAATGAACCAAGTCCACGGTCTGATGCTGGGAATTATGACAACTACGATGCCAGACGACTTCGAACAAGGTGCACTCTACTAAGTCGCCGTGACGACAAGACCAAGTTGCGCAAACGAGATTCGTAGATTGATCTCACCAGAAGACGTTAAAATTGACGCAGTCCACGAGACCTCCTCCCTCATTTCGGGTGGCAACCGATTGACATCATCAGAGTTGCAACTCATTTTTACAAAATTCGCACGCATTCGCCCGAACCGAGTGAAGATGTTTCGTCGACTGTGTCGATTTAAACGCAGTAGTTAAGCCGAACGGCTTCAGTACGGCAAAATTCATCCGTCGTCTTCTGGTGAGATCAACCTACAAACTTCTTCTTCATGCACTTTCATACGAACTGAAGGTCTCCCCACTAAGTTATTTCGGGCGACTCATCGAAACCCAGATTTTGTTGCAGCCTAACTGTGCTGTACAGTGTTGGTTTGACCTCATTTTCGCAACTTGACCACAGCCACAAAGAGACCCCGTGGCGCGTGCCAAGTTTGGTGTCTTTCTTTGCAGGATTCATGATCATTTTCAGCCTCAGGATGTTAATTTGGTATGCTGGAAAAATAGGCGAAGAAAAGTTTGGTTTCGAGGAATCTCTTGTTTCATAATTGTAGAGCTTACTTCCTTTTCGAGTGAAAGTGTTGCAGGCAAGAATGTATGAAATTCAATGAATTCACGAGGCAGAATGACTATATTTTGGGAAAATTCAAAGTTCAATCAGCAACTCGCCTCAGACGAGTTGTCTCATTCAAGTTCATATTCCACTATTATCTTTGATATGAGTCGCTCCCTCTCAAACATCGGCTCCCTTATAGAATTTCACATTTGGTGTGTCCCATGGCGCTAGCATAGTTCTCGCTTTCGCGACTGGCTAATGGCGATGGGATGAATTGTATGGGGTCAATCCGTCTTCTTTCCTCTGGAAAATGCTTCGATGGTCAGGCAAGCCTCGGTCTCAGTGACAGACCAACTTTTTCTTACTTCCATTTCGACTGAAATTGTTTGGTGAAGAGATTCGAAGGTCGGTTCCACCAGAAAACGACGGCGGATTCCTCTCGAGCAACTGGCGATTGGCTTTACTGGAACATTCATGCTGACAAAATCACTTTACACCTGATCAAAGAGGCCAGATATAGAGCATATATACCACTTTTTAGGGATTTGTCGGTGAGTTTTCTTGACTCGTTAGCTTGAATTTTGTTGTAACTATGATACTTTGCTCTGATGATGTTCATCATATGACGCACGAAAGCTTAGTACCTTTTCACCGGAATCGAACGAGATTGCCTCGGAAACAGCGTCAGCATGAATGTTTCAGTAAAGCCAATCGACAGCTGATCAAGAGGAATTCGCCATCGTCTTCTGGTGGAACCGACCTTCCAATCTCTTCACCAAACAATTTCAGTCGAAATGGAAGTAAGAAAAAGTTGGTCTGTCACTGAGACCGAGGCTTGCCTAACCATCCAAGCATTTGCCGGAGGAAAGAAGATGGATCGAATCCATAAAATTCATCCCATCGCCATAAGCCAGTCGCGAAAGCGAGAACTATGATAGCGCTATGGGACACATCAAATGGAAAATTCTATAAGGGAGCCGATGTTTGAGAGGGAGCGACTCATATCAAAGATAATAGTGGAATATGAACTTGAATGAGACAACTCGTCTGAGGCGAGTTGCTGATTGAACTTTGCATTTTTCCAAAATATAGTCATCCTGCCTCGTGAATTCATTGAATTTCATACATTCTTACCTACAACAATGTGTTTTCGGAGAGATTTGGCATATTCTGAATATCTTATTTTCCCTTTACCACACTGCACCAAGTTTACGGTCTAAAATTGCTGTAAATTGTCATGAATACTGTAGCAGAAGACGTCGGAGAGGTTACAATCGTCAAGATCGTCCAGACAACACGACCAAGTTGCATAAATGAGGTCAGACCGATTGTATATAATGAAACGAGACTGAAACCACAATATAGACCACTCTTTTTCGGTGTTTATATTT